TGCTTCTTCAAAGTCCAACTTTTGCTTCCACAGAGTGTCACAGGGAATACCATGGCTTGCGTGATTCTGTTCTTTGTAGGTATAGACACATCACAGCATCTGAATATCTGTTCCAAGGTTTTCATGGCTGTTCTACCAAGTGCTAGTCTGCAGAGTATTTCTTGACTGCTTTTTCCTTTACAGTTGATGGTTGATCCTAAAAGGCAGAAGCTACCCACCATTTTGATATCTTCATTTGTCAATTCGAAAGCTAGTTGTTCTACCTGTGGTCATTAGTTTGGTCTTCTTTATATTTAATTTTAGTCCCATTTTTTTACTGTCCATATACATGAGTGTATTTGTGGGTGGCGGGAAGCCATAAGAGGGAGGCTCCCCAGTCGTTGGAGGCCAGTGCGCACATTTGACATTTTGCGGGCCTGGTGTCGGCATTCAGAGAAAGAGGCTGCTTGCTCATTCACAAAATGTCCACAGTGGGTGCTGCCGTTCACAAAATCTGTATCAGAACGCAGACAGATGCAGTTGCACGCTCTCGTGCAGTCTAGCCTTCCAAAATACTCATTATTGACCTCCAGCATACTCCCCCCACCCACGGGCTAACGGGTGTATTTGCAAACAGTGGCTGCGCGCCGTTTGCATTTTCTAAGGAAGCCTAAGCAGTCTATGTGGCATTCAAGACTAACTTAGGAATAAATAGGAAGATGGTGCTGAATAGTTTTTAAAAATACAAATACAGGGTGGGAGGCAGGGAGATTTCAGGAACCTTGTTCTTATGGATGGTTCGTGTGCTAGTTGAAATGTGGTACCTCAGTTGTGACTGGCCATTTTCTCAAAGGGTGTTAAATGAGCACTGGAAAAACAAACTGCCAGTATGAAAGCCCATTTATAACCCAACAAACTTGCACTCTCGTTATATTCTTTTGTCATCTTTCCTTTTTACGTCCTCGCCACTCAGTGCTCCAGTGGATTCATCTGCCAAACGCAAAAATGCATGCAGGAAGCCAATTTCCACTATTCATTCCTTCATTTCAACCTTTCCTTTGAAATGCTTTTTAAAAACCTCTGTAGGCCCCTTTTACAGGTCAAGGTTTCTCCCTGGGCTTGTATGAGATGTGTTGGATGGTATATTCTGTTGCTTTCACAACTCTAATAAATTACCTGTTACCTTGAATTTAAATTACCTATTCAGCTAAGTCGGCACACGGGCTATTGTAACGTGGACTGGAGGGTGGAACTTCACTGTTTCAGATTTAGTCATTGCAAATGGTTGCAGCAAAGGCACGACTAATTACAACAAGATAAGCGACTGGACAGACCTTGAACATGAATTCATAGCTTTTCCTGTGGAAGTTCTGTTACAGACTAAAAAAGTGAGGGTGGATGGGGGCCTCCAGAAGAATTTAGATAGTAGAGCCGTTTCATTCTTTGCTCGTTTTCTTAATAAACTTAAGAAAGTAATCTGCATTTTGTCCATTAACTAGTTACTTGATCATAACACCTTGGTCTTGCAATGCTACTTCAGAGAAAATGTGGCTGTATTTAATGGAAAAGATGGTGTGATGTTATGAAAGAATTAGGTCCAGTAAAACCTATGTGAGAATTATTGTAAGAACATAAGATTCCCGTTGGAATTCTCATTGTGCAGGAACAATGGGGGACAGTCAAAAAAAGTCAAGATGGTGGTCACAACCATGTGTTTGAAATCTCACCCTTTTTTAATATGCATCTTATAAAAAAGAGGTTCAGTGATGCAGTTCTGGAAGCATCTTGCACTGAACCTTATTAAACCATTGGTGGCATAGCCATCAGGACCCGTCTTCTCCATGAATACATCTGATTTTACTTCAAACATCCTAGGTTGGGGATCATCTGCAGCTTCCACATTTTAACCGTCAAGATGAGTAGAATATTTTTTAGCACCGCGTCTTCAAAATAGTATAATACATGCCATCAGTCGCTGACAGAGGCCGTCCCATTTTATGTAACATAAACAGGCACTCCCAGCAGTCAAATTAAAAATGGATTTACCTGGATGCTTGGTTAATAAATACAATTACCTTTTGTTTAGATTACAAAGATAAAATTGAGCCTGAATGCCCAGAGACCAAAAAGAAACAATAGATTTACTAATAAAAAGTTTGATTAAAAACAGTTTTGAAATGTATCATTGAGACTGATGGAAAATGCCACAAGGAAATAAATAATTGGTTCCAGGTGATAGAAATACAGTCTGCTTGGGATAAGGTAGTATATCTCCTTAACCTATTAAGTCACTATGTGAGATGATTATTGCTGTGGTGAACATAGGATGACATAGGAAGCTTTGTTTCTCTCTAAAGCAGCATTGCTCGACCTCAGCAACTTTAAGACGTGTGGACTTCAACTCCCAGAATTCCCCAGCCAGGTTGAGAAACGCTGCTCTAAACTATATCTTGAAAAGAAAGAATGGCAAAAAAATGAGACTCTGGAAGTTCTCTAGTCTGTCAAAAATTTGTTTTATTAACAAAAGGGCAGTTGAGAGACAGACACAGGGATGTTGTGTGAAGACCCACTCATCTCCCTACATTTGCCCTTGTGGTCCAAAGACTGATAGGTATAAAGAGATGGTAGGTGTAAAAGATCACCTCAGTGAGGACTAGCCTCTGTCTCTCATGCCGTCTGTTAGTTGTCCTCTAACCACAGAGGGGAGCTTTTTAGGAACTGCCTTACTTCAAATCAAGCTGACTTAGTTTGCTCTGAACCATGGATTCCTTAACACCCATGTTGGAGAAACCACAATGGGCTGCATTTGCCTAACATACTAAGCCCAGTCACCTCTAGCATGGAGGGATGGGTGAACGAGCATGCACAAAGTACTTTCCCATAGCCAGCCATTTGGTCTAATGTCTGGGTCAGAAATTGGAGGAGAGCCGTGTTTAGGTTCTGGTGGCAAAAATCAGGAGGAACTGGTAGCCTCTTTTCCGACTAACCTTAAAAGGCACGAAAGCTGCTGCTTTTAATCAAAGGTGTGAGTCGGAAAAGGGGCTATTAGACTCCTGATGTTCTGGGTCAGAGACCATTCAGGCCACTTTAAGACTTTGGTCCAGCTGCGGCAGAAATCTGGACACCCACCATCCAGCCTTGCATCAGCTTCCTTGGCTGCTTAGGGCAGGTCGTGAGTGGGTGTAATGGTGTGTGGGAAAGACCTTGGGAGACCAGGCGAAGACACGCTGCCAAGGGAATGGTCAGGTAAAGAGAGGGTATAGCCCTCAGCTGGATAGTGGGTGAGGCAAGAGGCTCAGAAGGGACCCTCCCTAGTTTCTCGGGCTATAAAGGAGAAGGCAGGAGAATTATACTTTCAGACTTGCAAGATTCTCTCAATATAGCTTTACAATAAAGTAGAATTAGCTAATCTGGTTGTGATTCCTATTTGGCTTACCCCACGAGGCCGACAGCGAGCAAACCGCCTTGGGACCAGGGAATCCAACCCTACCTCCTTGCTCACCAGGGAATCCAACCCAGCTTTCTTTGGAATGGCGCTCAGGATCTTGGCAAGGCTCATTTCTCCACCCGGAATCTTTCTTTCCTCCCAAGCTGTTTACGTGGCTTCTCTGGTCTCTTTCCTCAATTGATGGCCCACGGGTGCACAGAGGCGAATTTTGCTTTTCTGGACGGAGGCCCTGCGCTCAAGCGGGAAACGCAGGGAGAGAGAGGCTGCCCTGCCTGTTCCCACGTATCCCCAAGGCTGATCTTGATGCAGCTGTGACTCCCAGGGCCACCTCTGGAAAGAAAAGGCAGCTTATTACCCATCTTCTCCAATCCCTGTCAGGGACCTCCACATCCTGAAGCCAGGAGCAGAGGCTGCACAATGCTCTTTGATTGCTCTCAGTGGGCTTCCTTGTGCTGGATCCAGCTGCCTTTGCATGCTGTTTTCCCCCGTTCTTTCTTCAATATTTTTTCCAGTTGACTTAATGATTACAGTCCATGGACCAAGGCTGAAGGCAAAGCACCAATGGTTGGCCTTGGCATTATGCTGCGTGCGAAAAAGACGGAAGTGCTCTTGCCATGCAATGACATCACCTGGAACACGATTGGCCGACTCTGGGTTGAAAATAGGGGCTGGCCTGAGGCCTTGGGGATTTTGCTTCGGCTTCCATGATACAGAACAGAGACGGGGCCTGTCTCTTGCCAGCTTGCTTTGCTGCCAATGTCCTGGCAGAGCCTGAGACATTGAGAAAAACAGTACAGTCCTTTGGCTTGTGCTGAGAGGCGATGA